CCGGCTCTAGGCAAGGGAGGAAGCTCCCTGGAAACCCAGTCACACTCCAGGCCAACAGCGCACGGGTGGCGCGTCCCCTGGGGCCTTCTGACACACCATCCCTGCCCATTCCTCCAGGAGGTTCCCTGGAGGTCCACGGGTGCCCGAGCGCAGAGCTGCCCTGCGCGGTCCACAGGGAGACCCTAGACTGCAGGCGGAGTCAGCACTGGACAGAACACAGAGGCAGAGGTTGGGGGTGTCCGGAAGCTGGTCACAGCTTTGCCTGCCTGTGACAAAGTGGGGGTGGAGACAGGAGTGTGCCACACCCCATCCGCTGAGTGACGGAGGCAGCAGCAACGCAGACTGAAGACAGCTCAGCAACCCCACTGAGGCCAGGGTCTGCTCTGCGTCTGTGGGGCGGACTGAGTGGCAGCCCCTCCTCTTGGGCACCCACACTCCTGGGTTCCACTGGGGATGGGCAAAGCCCCCCACCTGCAGAGATGGGAAGAAGCCCCCACCTGGGTGGGAGCGAATCCCGGGGACTCCGGACTGGCGGCTCCACTGGCTGGCATCCTGCACGCTGAGAACTCTGTTCCCTAAGAAGGCGGCGGAGTGCAGTGCCGGCAGCGTCATCACCGTGAAGTCTTGTCTGGACCCTTCCTGACCCCAGAAACACAGCAAGGAGTCGGTGTTTAGGGAAGGCGATGTGGGCGTCTTCAGCTGCGCTGGCTCCTGTGTCCTGAGTGGACTCAAAACGTTCCGCTCTCATGATTACTTTGATTTTGGGTAAGAGCCGGTGAACAAGGTGGATGAGGACACCATCATGGTTTTCGAGCCTGCCTTTCTTTTAGATGGCGCTCAGCAGCATTGACTATTTTTTTATCATGCCTCGAAAAGATACACAGGAAAGGGAACTCCAGAGCTGCCTCAGAAAGTGGCAAGAATAACAGGATGAGTGTGTTCAAAGAAAGAGGGGGCGCTCTGAGGGGGATTCAGGGTGAAGTGTGTTTTACTGTAATAAGGTTGTCGGTGTAAACAGTCCCCGTGTGTTCTGGTTCCCCCTCACACATCGCCAAGGTGAGGCAGTGAGAACCGCCTTTCATAGCTTTGTGAAACCGAACGCCCCCTTCTCCCAGTTTTATTTTGCAAAAGGTCTTCCACACTGGTGCAGCAGGTGCAGTCATGTGTGAACGAATGGACTGCATTTCCCCGGCTGGGGGCTCTGACCCCACCTAGGGGCTGCAGGTAGAGGGCAGTTCCCAGCTGTAACTGAGGGACCTCAGGTCAGCGGCCCTGGCTGTGCACACGTAGGCCCCACTCCTGCCTCCAGGGAAGGGAGATCCACGCTCCTGGGGTGGAAGAGGATCAACATCCTGCTGCTGCTGAGCAGCGCCTGTTCTTGGACCCGGTGCTGATGCCTCCCTTCTTGTGTTGGTGCTGTGTCCCCAGGTCCCACGGAGTGACAAGCAGGAAAACCAAGTCTAACCACTATGGAGAAAGCAGGCGGGCAGCGCTCCTCCCCGGGGAATCCTGTCGGGCCCCTTCCCCCTGCAGAGAGCCCAGGTGGGTTTTGGACATCTGAGGAAGCTCAGTCTCCAGTCGGAGCCTTTAGAGGACTCCGCAGCCCATTAGAGGTGTTTGACAAATGGCAGAGGAGCCCGTGTCTGTGCCGCATCTGTCTGTGGGCACATGCACCTCGCGTCTGTGGGCAGCGAGGCTTACTGTGAAGCACGTGAGCACTGAGATCCTCTTCTCCCAGCCCTGGCTTTCCTGGCCCAGTCTGGGTGCCGTGCCCTCCTGGCTCTTGGTTGTCTTTGGACCTCATGGTCTGCTGTGGGCAGCAGGGAGGAGGGGTGACTGAGGAGGAGGGACACATTCCTAATGTCTCGAGAGAGGGGCCCTGTTCCCACGCTGGGCTCAATGACTGGGGCGTCTGGCCTTGATCATCTTCGGGACAAGTTGTGGGTGACAAGTTGCACCAGTCAGTGTTTGTCTCACCTGCTGTCTGCTGCAGGCGGACCCCCTGACGTCCTGCACCTGCCCCCCCAGTCTTCCCAGGAGCCCCCACCCCAGGGACAGGCCCGCCACACCCTCGGGGTGCCGTCCAACAGAGGCTCCCGCAGGGAACGGGGCTGGGCCGGTGGTTCCCAGGGTGGAGTCTGTCTCTCGTCTGCCCCAGCCTGGGGGAGACAGGTGGGCGGGCTGGCTTGCACACAGCTGGGGACGTGGGCAGCACGCTGACACTTAGACGAGGCCTCTGAAGCGCAGTTTGGCTAAATCCCACCATCATCATCTTAATCCCTCTCATGAAAGACTCACACCCTTGGCCACCCAGCTGGACGGGAGGAGTCTGCGCATGAGGGAGAAGCAGCAGGACCGGGAAGATGGAGGCCCCTCAGCCGCCCCTGCGGCCCCTCAGCCGCCCACTCCTCTGGAGCCCACGGGGGCTCGTGGGTCTTGTCCTCCACCTCGCTCTTCCTTTTGTTTTGCTCCCCCCAGCTCTGCAGGCTCAGAGTCAGAGCCCATCCTGTCCAGCCAGGGCAGCTCCGGTCAGGGGCGCCTGGACCCCAGGCCACCTTGCCGTTCCTCCTTCCCTTTCTCTGGTTCCTACAGATGGGATGAGCTCAAGGCCTGGGACTGAGTCCCTTCCCTGGAGCAGGAGAACCCGGGCGTGGGCACCCTGCTCCCCAAGCCTGGTGCCCGGGAGGTGCCTTGGATGGGTCTGGACCCTTCCTCTGCCCACCGCAGCCTGGACATGGCCAGCCCACACCCATCTTTCCAGCTCAGCCTCAGCAGAACCCCAGAGCAGCCCTGGGCCTTCTTCAAATGCAGCCCTGCTCGAGGTCATAGCCCTTGGATCAGACGGGGCAGGGAGCTCTGCCCTCCATCTTCCAGATGGAGCCCTGCCCCACCGTAACCGCCTCTGGGAGCTGCCTCCTGCGCAGAGGTGCCGGGCTCACCGGGTGGGGAGGGGAGGGCAGGGTTTTAGAAGAAAAACAGAATCAGGAATCCTTAGCTTAGAGCTTCATGCCTCTGTCTGCGGAGGGCAGAGCCCTGTGAGGTGGCCGTCTGGGACCACTGTGAGAGATGGAGTGTGACAGTCACTCACCTGGTGCACTCAAGGGGGCCCTGGGGTTGGTGGGAGCCCACAGAGGGATGGGACAGGAGGGACAGCAGGCTCAGGACCTGTTCCAAACCCACTCCAAGCCCAGGGTAGACTTGGACAAAGGGGATTCTTACCACTGGGCCAGGAGCTGGGGTCCTGCAAAGGCTCCAACCAAAGGCCAGCTCTCCTCTTCCAGCCCTGTCCTAGCTTGGGCCAGCATGTGCCTCGCACGTTAGCACCACAGCTCCAGTCAGGCAGGACGGAGGAAGTCTCACACACCAGGGAGCCCGAGGAGCAGCACCTCTGCGGGGCCGAGACCCAGCCACAGGGAGAGGCACCCACATGTGCCTTCAGGGTGCTGCTGGGGCTGTGAGCTCTATAGGGACCAGCGTCCCCAGGAAGACGCCCCACACCCTGGGAGCTGTGAGGGGCCGTATTTGGGAAAAGGACCCTTGCAGGCAGAATCAAGGTGAAGCCTCCAGTGACATCACCAGGATTCGGCTGGGCAGTGTGTGGCGCTGTCCTCACAGGCTAGGACACTGCCTTGCACCCTGGACATGCTGTTCCGAGCCAGGAGGGAGCCGGCTCTGGGACACACAGCAGAGAAGCCGTGGGGAGGGCAGGCAGGGGCGGGAGGGGAGCAGCCACAGAGGAGCTGTCTCGGGCCACCAGAGGCAGAGGAGGCTCGGGAGGAGCCGACTGGAGCCCTCAAGGGAGCTGTGAGCGTGGGCCTGGGGCTCAGAGCTGGGGGAAAAGGCATGTGGTTCTAGCGAGAGGGACACAGGTCCAGAACTGCACCCCAGTCCTCAGGGAATCGGGAAGGGTGCCCCCCATGGAGGACAGTGGTACAAGAGGCCAGCCCAGGGGGCAGGGACGCTGCACAGGGACAGCAACAGGGACAGGACAGAGAAGCCCTCAAGAAGTGGACCTCAGCCGTAGGGTCCCTAGCTCTGTCCAATTTCCCACAAATAGCAAGAATTTCTCCTTCTTTGTGGCTGAGTAATGCTCCTCCGCGTACCTATACAGATCCGAGCCAATGGTGTGTAAGACTCACTTTGCTGGATTGCAATGATTCTGACTTCGGACCACTCTCTCGGAGCGGGACCCTTTCATAAGTCAGGACACTCTGTACCGGGTTCCCTCTCTGTGTTCCCAAGCGAGGGGCCCGTAGGCTGCACCCACGGCTCAGCTACTGTGAGAGGCTTTATGTACACATGGCACAGGCACCTGTGAGAGGCGACTCAGCTCCTCAGGAAGAACCTGGGAGCCACAGCCAGCTCAGTGGAATCCCTTGTTTTCTGAGGACTCCTCACTGATTTCCAGAATGTCAGGCATAGAACATTAAATATCACGGGGTTTCTCTTGTATGAAAAACCCAAGATACAAATAAAGAGTAAAAGAAAGGAGAGATGGTAGGAAAGGGAGAGAAGACATTTGCAGATTGGGGGTCGAGACAAAAAAGGGCTGGGAAATGACCACAATATAATGCAATATGCACCAGTCTGCAAATGAAGGTAGTGAGGATGTGTCACAAATGTGTATTAATGAAAAGAGAAAGAAGCGGCCCCTCCCTCCCAGGCTCACCACTCCGCAAGGCAGAAATGAAGCTTGCGAGGGAGCGCATGGCCCTGGGCTTGTCCCCAAGCAGGCCCTGGGCTGCGGTCCGCTCCACTCCACACATTCACCGCCCCACTGCCGCTGCCCAGGAAGGCACGGGCTCCTCCGGGGCTGGGCTCGCTCTCCAGCTGCATCCCAGCTTCCTGTCATGCGCAGCCAGGGCCCAGGGGCAAAGGGGCATCAGGACAGAGGCCCCCGAGACTCAAGGCAGCAAAAGCAATGACGCTAGCGAGGTTGTGTGATCAGCCTAGCCCAAGATGGGCCCGCAAAAGGAGCAGTGTGGTTTATGAAACCAAAGTTTGTAAAACCATTTTATTTGCCGAAGCAAAGAAAGGAGAAATGTGTGAGCCACAGGCACTGCTGAAGCCCGCCCACCGCCTGCCTCTAGTGTTCAGAGTCCGCGTCTGTCCTGACCACTTCAAACCTGGTTCTGAGGAGGAGCGTGGGTCCCTACTGTGGCCCTTTTGCAGGACAACGTGTGAGTCCTGAGATGTCTTTGTAAGCAGCTTCTGCGTTAATTTTAAGACATCAGCATGGGCTGCTGCTGACCAAGTATCACGTAATTCTGTAGTACAAATGAGACCGTCGGCGCCTTTGAACTGCGGTGAGTTAAGAATGGTGCACACAAGTTAAAAGGTACTGATTGGGAACACCAGGATTTACATGAAATGATCACTCCGACTTTGATAGGGCCCCGGACTGATTCAAAACAGCAAGTTCCACGTGAGGCAGCCTCATTCCCTTTGAATGGGCCTTGATCTGTGAGCAGTCGTCTATTAATCATATTACAGGTAAAGTAAATAAAAGCGTGCAACGTGGAGATCAGAGCCGTCGTCTTCTGCTACAGACAGAGGTGGGCACTGTGCAGTCCAGGCTTGAGGGTGACCAGCGTCCCGGAAGCAGAGGCCACGTTCGTCCTGACACGTGGTGGAGAAGTGTGGAGTTCAGCGGCCGGGGCAGACCTGAAAGGGAAGCAAGGAGCACAGCCCGAGTCTGAGGCCAGCCCTGGGGAGGGCAGAGTCTTCCCTCGGGGTGGTAGACCTTCATATTTTAATAGCCTTATTATCGGAGCAGTGTTAGGTTCACAAAATTGATTAGCAAGTGCAGAGTTCCCACACTGTACCCCTCCTGTCCACCTGCAGAATCCATGCCCCCCCAGCCCGTGATGGGTCTGACCCAGTCACCTGTCTGGACAACTCCCTGCCACCCAGAGTCCCCGGGCTGCAGGAAGGCTTTCTACAGTGCTCTGATATGCACATCGCACCCCTGTCTTTCTCTGATCAAGCCACTGTGACAATCTGCCACAGACAAAGGGGCTCTTAACCTGCAGAAACTGCTCATCCACAGGTCTGGAGTCCAAGCCAATACCAAGTTTCTGCGGACCCGGTGAGGAACAGCTGCAGAACGAGTGTGCCCCCAGCATCTGTGCCTGGGCTTCCCCCTCAGCGCAGCCATGTGGCAGGCGACCTCCAAAGCCTGGGCTGTGCCCTCGGGATGTGCAGTCGCCACTGTCCGCTGTCCCAGGGAGGGTGCACTGGCTCGAAGTGAGTTTGCTCCCCCTCCCTCCCGTCCGTAATCCCCCTCTGCCTCCTGGACGCTGTCTGAGGCGGCAGTCCTTCCCAGCTCTGGGCTGTGCCCTGGACAGATCCCTTCTCTTTATCAGGCACCTAGCCTGTGGCTTCTGTGACAGCAACACAGCAGGCCAGGCCATCCACGCTGCCGTCCACAGAGGTGACCTGGGTCCTCAGGTAGGAGGAGGGATGGGCCTCTCTGGGTCAGCGACAGGCCCTGAATCCTGTGATGGGGATCTGGACTGTGGCTCTACAGTGTCGGGGTCAGGAAATCAACACGTGCCCCCTCTTACGGAGTGGCACCCCAGGGTCTCTCCAGTAACTCACCACTGCATGGACTGAAAGTTGTCCTGGACTTTTAGGGAAGTTGCACTGCAGGCTCCTGTGGGCCCCAGCTTCCCATGTGGCTTCTTAGGAGCCCAGTAGCTCATGGTGGACAGGCTCCAGCCTGCCAGGTCATGAGGGGAACCCCGCTTGCTAGGAGCCAGGGTTGGAGCAACACAAAGTCACTGTCTGGGGCCCGGCAGAGGGGAATCCAGGATCAAGGTGCACATGGTTTCTCCCTGCCCGGGCCTGGCTGGGGCTGTGGACGCAACCTTCTCCAGGGCCTCCACACGGTCTCCTGTCTGCGTGTGTCTGTGTCCTGGTCTCTGCTTGTATGAGGACATGGATCACCTTCGGCCAGCACCCACCCTACAGCCCCATGTCACCTTAGCCACCCTGCTAGGCCCCTTCTGTAAATACAGTGACATTCCAACTCCTGGGCATAGGGCAGGGGTCACAGCTCAGCCCATGCCCTGAGGATGGAGCAGGTTAGCAAGCTCCACAGGGTGGGGTCCCTTGGGCCCTGAGGCTCTCACCCTAACTGCAGCTCCTGTCACCCAAAGCCACTGAGCTTGCTGCTGAGCCTCGGCCTCTTGGAGTCTCTGAGAGCAGCTGCACCTTGGCCTTGCAGCCCTAACTCCTGGGCAAACCCTAGAAGGCCCTTCCTTTTCCGGCCCCACCTTCGGTCCAGAGTGGGCCCTGTGGGAATCCTGGGCAGCTGCTTCCCTTGCACCTGATGTTGTAGTTGATTAACCCTGTGCTACGGGTGCCTTCGCGGAAACCCTCGGACCTAGGGAAGGGACGGGAAGGAGGGAACAGCGCAGAGGTGGCTCCGGCCACAGCACTCATTCCCTCAGGTGTATTGCACGCGGACAGAAGCCAAGTGCGCAGCCTTACTTTCTAACAATAGCTGATTATATTAGTTGATTACTTCCGCTTGGTGTTTTCCAGAAAACCCTTCTCTCCGATGGCTGTTAGACTCTGAATCAAGACTTCCCTTACTGTCTTCCTGGCTTGGTGCAGTCCAGGTCGGTACAGGGGCCATCTGGTTCTGGTTCCGGGGCTGGGGTGAAACCCAGCAGAAGGCCAGGAGGACAGGACTTGGGGTCCCTGGACAAAGGTGTGGCTCCGGTGGCTGTGAATCTGAACAGATGCAGTGGGAGATTCGGGACAAAAATATTTTCCATAAATGGTCTTTCTAAGGAACAACTCTGCTACAGTTAGTGTGGTAGACTCACAGCTCACAGTTCAGAAAAAAAGCGGGAGCTGGCTATTACATTGGGAAGGAAATGAGTACTCCTGAGGGAGGGTTTATCACTGCCTTTCATCACATCCAAATGAAGATAGGGTTAGGACAAGGAGGTACCCCTCCTCACGCGCCTAACACTGTCCCCAGCACACGATCTAAGAACAAAGACCAGGGCGCTGGCTGTCAGCCCTCTGAGGGACAAGGAGGCCCAGACGTCCAAGCTACTCACCTCTGGTCTTACACTGCTCTCCGGGACAGTGAGACCAGGAAGAGTGAAGCCCATTCAGGCGCCTAGCTGCAAGCTGCCCAGGAAAGTAGAGACACACAGACTCTAAAGTTGGAGTGCCCCTCTGCAGGAGCAGAGAGGGGCACCTTGGCCCTGTGATCGCCATCTTCTCCCAAATGTCCTAAATCAAAATGAAGTTCCTTCTATGGGTGGGAGCATGTCTCCAACACATACAGCAACCTCAGAAAAGCCACTGAGTGTCCGAAGGATTCTCCTCCCAGGAGGTAACTGCTTCCACCTGGGGACCATGGAAAAAATCTCTCACCTCCTGAGAGCCGAAGCGCCCAGCTCGGTGGACCCACTGATCCCCTCTGCCTTCAGGACCGCTCTCTGGCTACAGCATTTACTTCCTTTAAGGTTTACTTCTGCCAAGCCCATGTTGATGAACTGCATCAATTACCTATTTGTAGCTACAGAGAACCACATTTCGTTGAAAGTTGCTTAGCTGCCTATTAATCCCGATGTTTACCCCGGGAAGGGAGAAAAGCTGAAGGAATCAGGCGGACTGCAGGGCACAGGAGCACCGGCTGCTCGACAGTCTCAGAGCAGCCTGTTATCAATGCAACAATGACATTTTCGATGGAAAAATCAATTTCCCCCCTCCGCTCCTTTTAACCTCCAGTACGGCTTCCTTCCCTCACCCAGACCCAGATAACATCAGTCACCATGAAAGCGGACAGCACAGCCCTGGGCATGTCCAGGGGACACGTGGCACATCTGAACAGAGGGCCTCATTTTCCTCAGGCTGTGAGGGCTGCTGGACCCAATCGCACCTTTCAACTTTGCCTATTAATGCTCTTGTTCCCGGGGAAAACGAAAGCCTGGTGTTTCTGCTAATAATGGAAGCCGGAGAGAGCACTGGCCGGGCGGCTGGAGGAGGTGACAACTCTATTACCCAGACCTGGAGCACAAGCTGAGCCCCCGACCTCAAGCAGTGTGCAGACCGCTTCCAGCCTGCCTGGCCCAGCCCAGGGCAGAGCCGCAGGCGGAACTAAGGCACAGGTCTCAGGGCCTCTCCTGTGGTAGCCTGGAGGAGCCCAGGAGGATGCAAGGTTCTGAAGGCCCCAGAGCCAAAGGGGGCAGGGAGGAAACAGCAAAGTTGGCCAGGAGGTTATCAGTGAGAGCTGGAGCTCCACACAGAGTTAGCACTGCCTCGGCTTCGCAGGAACAGAGCAGTCCAGACAGCAGTCTTGCGGGCAGGGATGCAGCTCAGTGGCACAAGCACCTGCCTACCAAGCACAAGGTCCTGAGTTTGATTCTCAGTACCAAAAAAAGAAAAAGACACACAGCAGTCTCCACCTTCACAGCCCTCTTCAGCAGGGCCACACACACCACACAGCTTCCTGGCTGAGCCCGACCTTGAGCCACCCAGAGGCACCCACAGCCAGGCCCCAGACAGGGACACCTTCCCCATGGGACAGCCTCGCTGCAGAGTGCACCCCTGGCCCTCGCGACCGTGTTCCCGAGGAGTGACACCTGCCAGGGTGCCTGAGCATCCGGCTCACAGGCAGCGCACATGTGGCAGCTGCAGGTGAACTTCGTGGCCTTCGCACTGCAGACCAGCAACCAGGGACCTGTGGATCTCCATGCGGCACCTCGGGGGAGGGACACCGTGGCCGTCACCCAGGGGGGTCGTCGCCAGCAGAGCGGGGGTCAGAGAACTCTGCTGTTCATCTGTATCAGTGACTTCCTGCATGCTGCCTTTACCATCCCGTAGCTAGTGAGAGCCAAAGGTGATGGAGGTCAGAGAAGGCAGGTATTATCGGTCGTATCTAGATGTCCCCTGAAGGACCATGTGCTCCTAGGTGGGACTTTTGGGAGGTGGCCGGATCTAGGGTGTGTGATGCTGGGATTAAGGGTATGTGTCTTGGTTACTTTTTCTCATTGCTGAGACAAAATACCCAACACCAAAGGTTAACGCCAGAGGGGTGTATTTGTAGTCTAGAGGTTTTCATTCACAGTCGGCTGGCTCCAAGGCTGTGCTCCATGGCAGAGCAGCATTACAGAGGAGAACCAGTCCATGGCAGGGCAGGCAGAGGCAGCAAGGCAGCAGGCTACAAATGACAAGACAAGCAGGGACCCTCTCTCTGTCGCTATATCTTATCCAGGCTACTCACCAGTAGGGTGGACAGCACTCACACAACCTCGACCCTGCCCAGAACTGTGCCAAACCAATCAGTGAACTGACTTAGTTGTCACATACCCTAATTTCCAGCATTACACACTCTAGATCCAGCCGCTGCTGGAAAGCCCGCCTATGACTGCATCAGGCTTCGGGAGGGGGCATCTGGACCCAAGCTATGACAGTGTGTGATAACTGAATTAGCCCACTGATTGATAGGTTAGCACAGTTCCAGGCGTGTGTAAGGCGAAGGCCCACCCAGGTGTGGGTGGCACCGACCACTAGGCTTGTAGCCTGGCTGAGGTAAAAGGGAAAGGGAGGCTCCCTGCAGCTGCCTCCTGCCTGCCCTGCCGTGGACTGATTCTCTCCGGTGCTGCTCTGCTTGCTGTTCTGCCTTGGAGCCAGCTGAG